AAGAACAACATTTTTTTCTATGAATCGACATACTTTAAGCATTGTTGACGCTATTTCCATTTGAATGAGGAAATAGCGTCAATGACTTTATTTCCAAATTTTTGTTGACTTTATTTCGCTTTTGAAAAGGTAATAATGTCAATTGACTTTATTTCGCACCAGGGTGGGAAATAAAGTCAATTGACCTTATTTCCATTGACCTTATTACCTGTCACCGATGATATACTTTAAATAAATTATGAGTCTGCGAAAATATCTTTTCAGCATATGAATATACTTCTTAACTTTTTCCCGAATATTTACATACAGGTTCGAAATTATGCCAGTAACATTCAAATATCGTCGCTTGGATGGAAAATTTCCGTAAGCGTCAGTTTGACAGTTTTTAGTTAAAGATGCAGTTATATATTTTAAAATCAGATATTTCTGGAGATTTTTTTTTTTGCGAAACTCACGATTAGGCTAATTAGTGAAAATTATTGTTAATTTATAAAAAAATTTATCACATTTGGCGTATACGACAAAATTTTGTTAAACTCATAAATGGTTGACAGTAAACTAAAAAATAAGATAATTTAAGAATTTCGTGAACTAGTAAATAGCATTCTCCGGCACTTTGGAGAAAATCTGTAGTCGAGTTTCTGAGAAATTGAATTCCAAACTTCAATTGTGATTTCCCGAAACCTGCCGAAAGTAACATGCAACGACCTTTTATCTAGGCGACGATATAACATTTAGCTAAAATATGCATCTAAATAAATTATAATTGTCATTATTTTCGCAGTTGAAGTATATGCCAGGCGAGTAACAGGTATATTTATACATACATATGTAAGTATACCTAAATTAGCACGTTGAGCTTGTATAATCATCCCTCTAATGCATTAATTCTATATACGTTAGGACCAACGCCCGACGCAGTTATGTCTTTATTTAATAACGGCCTTATGACAAAATATTCAAGAAATATATTTTTAGATTTTTATTTACTTCATTTCATACATTAATATTTACCTGATTTTTTGTTTAATAAATACCAGGAATAAATATTTAATAAAAAACTATTTCACTTAAGCTTAACCAACTTTTAGTTGCTCGGAGCTAATTTTGGAACGCTTCATGAAATATATTCATAGACGGTAAATGCAAGCCTGGGTGCATCGTTAATGAGCTGAAGAACCAAAACAAATTAAATTTGTGGAATGGAGCCTTTTGAAATGGCCTTTACAAACGGCAATGAAATTTCGACATTATTCAAGGAATCGTGAATATAAGCTGCCTTTCATTTGGCATATTTGCAAAAATTATATTTGTTACAAAAAAAAACAACATTATTTTCTATTTTTATTATTATATATTTTTGAAATAAAAATAATCCACCTTGTACACCAGAAAATTTCTTTAAACTATCTTGCGCAGCAGTTTGTTTATATTATCTTCACGGTTACCGAAATCACCAACGTAGTGGCCACAGTAAGTTCGAGGCTTTCTTGAAGTGGGATCCAACAGTGAATATTTCGTGCGCCAAATAATCAACGCACTGAATATCGTGCGCTTTGTGCAATTTGCGTTCGATCACAAAGTTGTCAAGAGTTTGGGACACGTTGATGGTTGTGCCTGACAATTCCACGTTTGTAGATCAATTCACGAACTGATATAAGATTTGGATAGCCCCATGTAATATAGGGTTCGGAAATCCGTAGCATATTAATGGTTGCCTTGTTCAATTCGATGAACAAACCGTTGTTAATGTGGCGAAGATGGAACCACAGTAAAACTTTACGCACTTTTGGTGCAACTTTGTTGATAAAGATCACAAAAGCCATTATGCGGGCACGTAGAATGGGCCGCGTTTCTTTGCCAGACGGCGCAACTTCATCTCACGGCGGCCATCAGGAGATATTTTGCTTGATATTTCTCAGCATGCTCCAAGTTTTCACGCTTGCGGAGTGCAATCACAGCAGAGCGCTTTAGTTTACGCTTGATCAGGGTAGCACGTTTCCTCACCTGCTTCTTGCTTAACTTCATCTTCGACTCGGGGACAGCAGGCAGCTTCCTGGAAGCAGCGTTGCCAGGTTGACGTTTTTAACGTCATTTGGACGTTTTTTGTATCCTGTTGACGTTTGGACGTATTTTATGTAAAAAAAAATTACGTTTTTTAACTTCCCAGGAATTTTTTTCTCTTTNTTTTAACGTCATTGGACGTTTTTTGTATGTTGTTGACGTTCGGACGTTTTTTGTGCAGAAAATGATGTTTTTAACTTCCCAGTAATTTTTCTCTGTTGCTAAATCTTGTAAGTAGAACTCATTTTGAATTATTTTCTTAATAAATCTTTACAAGCTTTGTGTTTTGCAGCAACTGCTTCAAAAGATATTTATTCATTGGACACAGATGACTTAAATATGATGCATATCAAGCGTACGCGCATTTTTTTTTTTATTCTTGGACTGTGTTCAAAGTCTGGTTGTGTAAATACTTGAGGTTACGAGGCTTATTGTAATGTTTGCAATTGCACATTAAAAGCCAAATCAGGAAGAGCTGTTCTCTTGCAACACGCACGCTCGCAAAAGCATCAAAAAAGCTGTAGCAGCATAAAAAGTCAGAAAACAGTAGGCGACTTTTTTAATTTTAAATTTAATTTAAAATGTAATGAACGCAAAAAAGGCTAAAATATTGATATACTCCTTCTTAACAGAACGTAATTTAGCATTTTCGACCGCCGACCCCCTTACCAAATGTCTACAAGAAAAAAAAAATTATTAAAAATCAACACGATTATTTAGCCCCTTTAAAATTGCACATTATTGCCCTGAACTGCATACTCAAAAAAATTCTAAAAAATCTAAATAAAAAGTTGAAAATCCAGCTGAAGCTTTGCAGTTTTTTTATAATTTTTGCACAAAGTTTGAAATGTGGATTTATATTTTGTTTGTTATATAATGAGCTTTTATGGAATAACAATTTACATTAACCAATGGAAATCGCAAAAAATTGGAAAAATAAAATACTCCCCTCATTTTGTTTTGTTGTAAAATTTTTGAGAAATGTGAATTCACCACGATGCAATACAGAAAGAACACGGACGAGGGATATAATTTTAAGTATTCAGTGGCAATGCGCAGAGCGTTCCGAGTAGCAAAATTAATTTGTATCAAATATAACATTAAACGGTGGTTCTAATACATTTTTTAATACTATTAATCAGAGTACATACATTATATGGTATTTCTTTCAAAAATTAATGCACTATATGCATTTTTTTAATATTTCTTAAGTTTCTTTCATTAGTGCTGAAAAGCAACCCTGCGTGTAAGAAATTATGTGGTACTTAAAATTTCACCTCTGGAAACTTTATCCCCATAAAGGACTTCACCACAGTTTTTTTACTGGATACACTGAGCTTGCAAATAAAGCCAGCACAAGGCGTATGATAGCCAAGAATGATAGAATAAAAGATGCGCCAATCGAGCTGACCGTGACGTCGACAATACCACAATGAGAGAGCAAGACGAAATCGACAAGAAAAAGAGGAAGCATTGAACAAAAGGCAGTATTGCCAAGTTTTGAATTTAAAAAAGCCCGAAATTTTTATTGGTGTATTTTATGGACTATATGCATACATAATTTTATTGTAAGAATACCGATTCAAATTAATAAAAATCAACGTTTCTTGCACGACGGTCGATATCTTCTGGCATGATTGAAGTTGCTGCCACATATTTTGTGGTCGCTTATGATTGTTACTGTGCCATAATTTTGTTAACATTTTTGTAAAGTTGCTTACTACACTTACGATTGCTATAAAGTTTGCTTCAATATTTTTAAGATTTTCAAATTTGGTGCCTTCAAATTAAAAACAAAAGCACCAAAAAAGCACCAAGCACCAAACCTCAAAAATTTTCGCGTTATGAATACCCACTAAATTTGGTGCGAAAAGCATCAAGTTGGCAACAGTGAATGTAAACAAAAGTATTGTATGACGTCAGCGATTGGGTGGATGCTGTCTAATCGACGTACAATAATACAAGGTTCGATAAACTGACAGTTGTCTCTCTCGCACCGCTCCCTTAGCAGTAGCACCGTGTTGCTTCTTTTCAAATTTACTTGGAATGTAGCTTTTCTGTGAAATAGAAGTATAAGCTTTTGTGCAATATGTTTATTTGTATATGCATATGAAGCACATTTAACTGATGAAAACATAAATTGTTTTTAAATTGGATGTTTGCATAAATCTCATAGTAGTTTTTTTTTTAACTTTGAGTCCTTTTGCAGTTTCTATACAGCTAAATAGCACATAAATTACGTAATTCACGTAGATATATTAATATTTCTTTCAATTTTTCATTTAAAATAACAGATTTCCTGCAAATACATTAGAATTTACAAAAGGAATTTCACTACTAATTGCCTCCTTTGCGTACTTTTCTACTACCATTTTCGCACCAAGGGATTGCATTCTTCGCCTTTCTCTGTCCTTCGTAAGTGCAACCTTTTGTAAAGGAGTGTCAAACCGCGGCTGTCAATAATTATCTAACCTTGTCTTATTGAATCATGGGCGCGACCTTTTTTTTCTGGATCGTGGGTGATAGCGATAGAAGCCATGCTTCTTCTTATAAGCACGCTTGTGTCAAATTATCGCCTGTTTTGCTGTGTTTACATATCCGCGTATACATACACATATACGGAAATATATACCCTGGAAACAAATGCTCCCGAAACCTTTAAGAGTATCGGAAATTTATTACAATTCTTTTAGGAATCTTTAAAGAAAAACATATGAAGCGGTTGACAAGAACTAGTAAAGAAATTTCTGTACGATTTCTTAAAGAAAATTAAAAAAAAAAATTGTAAATATACATACGAATGTGAATAGTAAAAGAAGCCGTTGTTGACACAAGGAGTTCATACCAACGGTAAATGTGGTTTTTGTACGATTGCTACAACCTGTAGTNTCACCAAACGAATTTAATAAGAAATTATTTGAATTAATACGGTGACTGCATTACGGATTAACCGACAAGGTGGATGTCCATGCTGGTTTTGCATGTTCTTTTTGTTCAACGCTCCCTGAGCAAACAAATACGCAAACAAAGCAGCCTGATTCCTTTATCCGCGGAAGCCGAGTGGTGAGAGCTGCATACTTACGGTGACCATAAATATATTTTCAAAATGCAGGACAATTTTTCAAAAATTGAACCTACATATAATTGCGTAGTATAAAAATAACAAAAATATACTACATATATACGTTCTTCGTCATTTGAATAGCGCACCCTTTTTTTGATTTTCTAACATACAAAGTATGCTTGACAAAATTTTTATATGGAAGAAAATGCGCAGCACCGTCAAAAAAAAATTGTCGCCCCTATGTTTATTTTATTTTTTTTTTTAATTTAAAAAATGGGATGTAGACGTAGAATATGCTATATTTTTATAAAAAGTTAATGAATATTGAACAAACAAAAGGAAAACTGTACCTACTAAGTATTAAAAGGATGCGCTATTCAAATAACGAAGAGTGCATATTTCTTAATTATTAATCCAATTTTAAACTTTAAACATAAATCAAATTTGCTTCATTGGCATTAATATTTTAGTAATGAATATTTACAAAATTATAATAAGGCATATTACATATTACTTTACACGAAATATGAACCTCTGTAAAGCACATTTTTTAGGCAAACTGGTCGTTGGGTCGTTGAACATGAAAAAAATACCCATGGTTTTAAAGAAGTGTTTTCGAGATTTGTTCGAAAAACGTATTTTTAGTACTTTTTCAGTTATTCCTCAATATCTCATGAAACGACCAACAGTTCGAAAGGTATTGATGGGCTCCTTGCAAAAATATATATTTTTTGTGCAGATTGTGTTCCGTAACATCTATATTTCTCATCAGATTTTCATTTACTGTAAAAAGAAAATGATTGAAATTTAAATTTTTCGATTTTGGTCGCTTGTAACACTGTAATTTTCATCGAAATCGGCAAAGTAATATATTTTTGTAAGAGGACTGTAGGTAACTTATGTCGATTGGATAATTTTTTCATGAGATATTGACGAATAGGTTCGAAATGTACCAAAAACACGTGTTTCGAAAAAATTACGAAAACGCTTGTTTGAAAGGAAAATTGGCTTGGAAAATTTTTTTTCTTAAGCGATTACCACAAAATTTGTAGAACAGTGTCATCGATATATTTGATGCTTGTCTTCAATTTCTCGTCATCCATTGTCCATAACCGTACAATATTTAGAACGCATTGACTAGTTGAACCTTCAAAACCAGCTTACCCTTATGTAGTTTATTTCGATTAGGAAAAGTGAATTTTAAAATATCGAAGAAAATGCGGGACAAAGGCAGGACATGTGGAAAAAATCAGTACATATTGGGGGTTTTCTGTTTTGAAAAACTACGCAGGACAGACCTTTAAATTACAGTACGGTCCTGCAAAAAACAGAACGGATGGTCACCGTAACTATAATGTCAAATGATGAATAACTTTTAACCCTTTTCAAATTTGCATTTTCCATTTTTCATTAAAAATTCAGTTGCGTGCTGTGAGAAAGTTGTGAATTGTGTGATTTTTTATACCCGGCGCACTTGTGCACAAGGGTATTATACCTTTGTTGACATAAGGTTGTTTGTAACAGGCAAAACGAATCGAGATAGATATAGACAAATGTATACATAAATGATCAGAATGAAAAGAGAAATCGATTAAGCGGTGATTGTCTGTCCGTCCTTCCGTCCGTCCGTCTGTCTGTGCACACGATAACTCGAGTAAAAATTGAGATATCTTAACGAAACTTTATACATGCACTTCT